ACATTGATCGTCAGCAGATCGAGGTAGAAGAAGTTGCACGCGTCATCCTAAGACACATGACACCAATAAAACACATTTACAAATTTTACAGTACTCTCGGGATACAAGAGAGCAACGATAATACGTTTGTTATGAATAGGATGAAATTTTGGAGGTTACTCAAAGACTGTGCATTGCATACAGTTGGGTACACTCTTGCAGAGATTGACCTTGTAGATGGGATTAGCGTAACCCTGAATGACCCTCATGACAGGCACACAGCTATTTTTATGAGGGATTTTGTTAATGCCTTGATCAACGTTGCATTTTTACTTTTTAAGAATGATTTTCTTGATGAAGATAATGCAGTTGCCAGATGTGTGATGAAAATGCTGACACAATTTGTCCTCCCAAACGCTTGCATAATGAAAGGTTTGTTTTTTAGCACAAGCTTTAGATCTACGTTCAGATCTCTATGATTTTCCAGAAATATTTTACACTTATGCGTATTCCTGCATCGTAACAAGACCATATCCTCTTGAGACTTACGTGCACAGAGACAATTGTCGATAATGATTGTTTAAAGTACTTTTCTTTTCCTGTTTGTTCTTAACAAATCTTTTTAAAATTAAGTGATACTCTGCCTTTAGGATATTCACGTGGGTTTATGTTTGTATTTTTTTCATTGGTTTCTGTAGATACTGTAATAATTCTTAAAATTTAGGAAACAAATGCACATAGCAAAATATATTCTCTCTTTGAAACGTGCCAGCAATGCTACATTCCGAGTCTTTTAGTGTACGTATATCATATTATCCCTTGTTTTTCACACTTGTTAACGCTTTAAGATCTTTTACGAATGAAAGAAAAAAGATATATTCATCAAAGTATTTCGCCGTTGCAGTTTAATTTATAACTGAAATCTTATCTTCTAGGTCACATCTTTAGCACTTATGAGAAAATGAAAGAAGCGGATAAATACATTGAAAAGTGTGATGAGGTATTTCATTATTTCAGACCAGCTGCGAATAAGCAAAATGCAGAACGTTCGTTACGAATTCGAGAATTTCTATGGATGCTCAAAGATTTCAAGCTTCTAAACTCAAATTTAAATGTCAGTAAGTTTTTGGATCTTGTATATAGTGAAGATCAGCAAGCGCTTGAAGAGAGATCCTTTAATTTGGATGATGAGATTGTGTTCCTCGAATTCTTCGAGACCCTTCTTCAGTGCGGTCAGATATTTAATATTGGATCTGAGGTGGAAGAGAAGCGAGAGTTATCTGGAAGAACACAAAACCTTAGCTCCACTGTAACAGATATGAAGTCGCCTGTTTCCATCAAAGATGAAGATGAATCAACAATAATAGGTTGGTACTGTTTGTCAAATCCAATGGGCTTTAGATACTTCTATATTCTCTACTGCAAAGCACCAAACGGGCAGTCCCCCAATATGATCTCGTCATGGCCACGATGATCTAGGAAGACCTTGGTGGCAAGGTTGTCATAAGGGGTCTGTAAGGGTAAACTGGGAGTTGGGACTTGAGCAGTTAGAATAAACAAAGCTAGATTTGATCTTTTCGCTAAGCTACTGGCGAAAAATAGTTTGCCTGTCCTGGGATATGCATTCAACTTGCACTTATGAAATGTGTATGCTTGAGTTTTGATGTATCAAATAATAGTAATTGCTGCAGTCGATGGCTAACAAATCCAACGCAGGCGACATGATGAAAGAACATCATACATTCATTTTCTTTGTCTATCAGAAGCCGGGTCCTAAAGAAAGGAGGAAAAAGTAAGAAACAATAGTACTGATCATCTTAAGAAACTGCTCAAAAGCTATTGTTTTAAATTTAGAAATGAAGCGGGAGGGATTCTTTTTGACGACTTTTCTACTTACTTACTTCCTCCTTAATTTAAATAGATAAATAGAAGTAAGAGCTCCTTGTGCTTTACTTGGTGTTCTATTTTATGATATGGTAATAAAGAAACCTTTCAGAAACTTTTGGATCTGAGATCACAAATAATAAATGAAACAAAGAGTGTTAACCTCGAGCTTTGTTTCATAGTAGAACGGTCCAGGTAGGCAAGAAATCGAGCGGAAGGTTACCTGGGACTTTTCCTTTTGCAGAGAAAGCATCTGAAAGACTGAAAACGCCTTCAAACACGCAATCTCCAGATAAAAGTAACGCATTTACCTCTGACGCCGTGTCCGTACCAGATCAATCGAAATCTGAGCCGGAGCAGTCACCAACGGTGAAAACACAAGAATCGAGTAACCACGGAAAGACAAGTGCTGTTGGTGGAAGCAGGCGGGAACAACATGCTGGAAAGGATAGTGTGGGCACCAGTGCCTCTAGGGGTAGAAGAAGGGGCACTGCAGATCATATAGAGGTCGAGAACAAGTTTGGAAGTGCTTCTAAGCACAAAGAGAAAGGTGGCAAAGAGAAAGATAAATTAAAAAATGGATCAAAATCTGCCAAAAAGGTCGTGATTGAAGATGACAAAGGCAAATCGTCGCCAAATGTTATATGTAAGTTTAATTATAAGGCTACCTTTAGTACAATCTAGTACTTTGAATAAAATATCTCGTTTGTCCATATGGAGGTGAAATTGAAAATTATTTCTATTTTTGTCATTATGTTAAATTTGTATACCCAAAATAGCCTATACAAATGTTTTTTTATTCAAACAGTGCAAAGCCAGATGGAGTTAGAAAGTGAAAACCAATCACTATTACAACTGGGACCATCCACAGTTGACACTGGATCATCAACTTTGCAAATCAGTGGAAAACATAAGGAAAATAAGGATCCAAAACAAAGCATCAACCAAGTTCTACCATCTGGAACTGAAGATAGTCCTCAGGCATTGGAGGAAGGTCTAGGTAGGAATTTTCAAGGTACTTTTTGACCTTTTCTTGGAGAATGAAAATTGTCCTAAAGAAGACAAAGCATTTTTCATTGAGTCAAGTGGTTTTGTTATAAGCAGAATAAAAATGCCTAAATTGTGTATTTTGAAATGGAATCCATGATCTGCATATTATATGATTTCTTTTTCTTTTGTAAGGGTTTTCTTGAGTAAGATTGTGCAGGATAGTATAATAGTGTTTTCTTCTCTAAATTTATTAACAGCTTATTATAAGCATTTGTCCTTGAGGCTAACATTAATTTCCAGGCAGTCTTGCTTCACATTCATTTTATTTTATATATATTATTCCCATCAAACCCCAGTTATTTCAGATTGTAAAACTTCTCACTATCACAACATTTGTCTTCTAAAAATTTTATTTGAACACATAATCTGATACTAACTGAGAAAAAAATAAACTTTAATGTTTGACTTGAAAGAATGGTTGAATTGTTTTGGAATTGGCTACCTGTTTCTTTTTCTGAATTTGTCTTAAATTCAAATTCTTTTTCCAGATTGAAGTGCCCAAAATCAAAATGATCAACATTTTTAGTAGATAATTTATTAAAAAGTAAAATGCATAATTGCTCTGGATTTTTCATATCTTACATTGTTTGACAATATGTTATAGACCTTAACTGCTTCAAGCATTTCATCAAAGTGCTAGTCTCCATTTTTTAAATAAAATTCACCAAACTTGTTTATGAATGTTTGATATTTAACCAAAATGATTTTATTTTTTTATTTTAGATCAATTTCAAGACCAATCTCTCCTGATACATACAACTGATAATGACAAGTTCTCTTTGGATGTAACAGCAATTGAAAACCAGAACGAAGAAGCTAATCAAACATGGGTCAAAAATCTACATATCTTTTTTGAAGATTGGTTTTTCCCAGCATTTGAAAATCGAAAAAGGGTAGACCAAACGCTTGCAAAAGAGAAACTTTAACACAAATAAAGCCTAAACAAAATTTCCTCTTGATATCTTAAGGAACAATTGGCATCAAAGTTTGCCTTTGTTAACTTGAATTTCTTTATTAACCCACTGTTGTAAATTGCTCTTCAAATACTTTTTCCTCAGGTATTTCACAGATTGTTTAATGTATCTATCTATGTTTTTGATTCTATCACATCTTGGCTCACTGTTTAGCACAATTTAATAAACGTGCTTAGTATGTAGTATAAGGCCCTTGTAACTAGCTGTCAACTTTAGCCTGCATATCAGTACAGCAAGAAGAAAAGCATAATCAGAGGGGTGACATTGTTTGTGAACTGTTGGATTTAAAGGCAATCTGTCACGACGTTGATTGATAATAAGAACAAAGGGATTTTTTATTGTTTCCTGTCCCCCTTTAATTTATCGCATTGTAAAATATATGGCGGAGTACTGGAATCGTGTTTAGGCTATTGTTCCAGCTATTGTTCTTGTTAACCAATCCACAACGAGACAGATTGCCTTTAAGTGGATTGTTTATTAGAAACATAGAATTTTTATAATTTCATTTATAGCCCTGTTAGAAACAATGGTAGTACAGTGAGTGCTGGATGAAATGCTGGATTTTGAAACAGTAATTTGGGTTATCCAACATTTCAGATTAGCTAAAATTTTTGGTGTTCAATAAAAGAAACTGATTTTCTCAGTGTTACTGAAGGATCCTACAAACTAAAGGAACTATAATCTTGGCCAAAAATGCTGCGACACTTGCAAAAAAAGAAGCTACTTACAAATCACCCACCCCCCTTCCCCTCAAATCAATGTTGGGATTGGATTGGTAACCAATGTAGCAATCCTCACTTATTCCGTAACCATCTTAACCAACATTGTCCCTGAGGGGAAGGGGGTTTAGGTCACCAGCGCATATAATATGAAGATATAGCATGCAAATTCCTTTTTTTGTTCAAAAGTCTCAGCTATTTTTGGTCAGGAGTGTAGAAGAAACTGATTTTGACGGATGTTACCTAAAAGACTAAAGCATCAATGAAGCAAAAATAAAAACTAGAACTTTGGATGAATTGCAAGCAAGATATTGCATTAATTTAACACCTCTGTATTTGTGCGCCAAAAATTTGTAAAAAATTGCTGGATGAATGTTTGGTGCTCAATGAGGGGATTTATTTAGAAAGATTGGTTGCATTCAGTGATAGCAAGTTGTATTTTTGATTCACCTTTGGGATTTTTTAGGTATATCACTTTAACCCATCATTAGGTTTCTCAGAGAAATTTCCTACCACAAAAAAAATTAAATAATATTTCATGACTTGAAAAAAGATTAAAATGTTGATTTATTAGCAGGCAAGCTTATGCATAGGATAGGGGTTGGGAGGGATGTAGCCCCCTTGAACAGTCAAAATTTGTTGCATTTTAGGCTCCATTTCGGTAATTATGTCTCAATACAGCAATAATATTCTGACAAGATCCACACTGGGTCCCCTTTAATGGTTTTGCATCACCTATACCCATGATTAAGACAGACCCAACCATAGAAAGTTATGTAGCACATGTTGACTTACATGATGAGTTTTTCTAAATAAAACTGATTCTAACAACTAATTGCTATATATTTGTGCTATCAAAGCAAAACGATACACTTCATAAACATAACAGATGAAGACCATATCAAAATATGTGTTTTCTGTGCCAAAGTTCAGATCAGATTGGAAAATATGTAAATTCTTGCCAATATATTCGGCATGCAAAAACAAAACAGATTGGTGAGAACTCTTCTAAAAAGATGCTCTCTTCAAAGTACAATAGCAAGAAATTTTATTAATCAAAGATGTGCAATAAGTAGAGTCTTTGATGTGAGAAGCTGAACAATTATCAATTTTAGTTTAATGTGTCAGCAAAAAGTATGGCATCGCACATATCTAGACAGGAACACGGGGAGAAAACAATAGCTGGCTCAGATTCAATTACTCTTCTCTTGATTACACACTATTTCGTAACCAGAACTCCTGAGGTATTTTTTGAATCTGCTGCCTTTTGCTCTTTTCCGCTATTTGTGTCCCTTTCACCTTTCATTCTTATATTATGGTCTTCTTTAAATTTTACAATCTCCTCGCCTTTTGTTTTCATTTGACCCTCGAGTTTTTCCAGTACCCCTTGAATTTGTACTTTATTATTTTCCAGTGCAGGAAGCACATCTTGTACTGTCCTCTCAACAAGTATACCACCAACACTTCTAAAACATTTCCTTTTGCCATCCACTTTTTTCAGTGTATCTATCACAGCGTTGTGCTCAGAAACTTCAACTTCAAGTTCGGTATACTTGTTTGCAAGCATTCTTTGCTCTTGACGAAGCTGATTGAACTTCATGATAATCTGTTCTTGTGACATCTCTCCCTTTCCCTTTTTCTTTGATACACTAGCCATCTCGATCCTTAATATTTCTTCGAGAAATGGTCAACTAATTTCTTTTCCACACAAACTCTTGTACAAACGTGTACGGGCTAGGCCGGGGCTCGTGAAACAATTACTTCATGTAAGAAAGAGTGCTCCTGCGCAGCGAAGAACACATAAATGCGACCAGCTCTTTCTGCATACCATGCAGCTGCTATAGAGCGACGATGGTCCCGAGCCAGAATCCGGCCCAACAGTTGACAAGATTATATCATAAAGAAATGCCATTTATGTAAAATGTAAAATAATGCATAGAACTTCTAAATGGCTTTTAAAAAAGCAAACATTTAGTAAACTAAAGCTTTTCGTCTGACACTCTTCAGAGTTTAAAACGTCAGATATAGATCGAAAACTCTACGCTAAGAAATATATATACCCAGTTGTGGATCGAAATAGGCCAATCAGAAACACGAGCACATGACTGTAAAGGTTGACCAATCAGTGCCGCTTGCCTATTAGAATGTTACCAGTGGAGTCCTAAGGTGAAAACGAACTCCTTTTGTCTACACAGTAGCGGTTTTTTCGTGCTTATGTAGATAGATTCTAAAACTGCTAGGTGGAACGACGAAGTTTTGTACCACCAAAAGATTGTTTGCATAGAACTTCGCAAAATGGACTAATGGAGTGAGTTGTGTAAAGCTAAATGAACTTATGGAGTGAGTTGTGTAAAGCTAAATGGACTTATGGAGTGTGCTTCCAATAATGCACAAAGCAAGCAGAAAGACATTGCAATGAATTGAATTTTGAAGATCTAAGGAGGCATAAAAACAATATTTAAGTCTGTTCAGCGTAGATCCAAACTATCACACATGCACCTTGCATTGCAACTCGACCTAACTGACTTGCAAAACAATTTTGATCTTAAGAATGTCCATCTACAACTCGAATTGCTCTACTTTTACCAGCTTTACTTAAAGAATGAAGAGCGTTTGACTTATTACGAATTATACGTCAATAACATATTAGAAAGACGATACAGTTCAAAAGACTTGCCAAAGTCGAACTAGTGGGGTTGATAACACGAAAAATCGTGCGATTTGTGATAAAAGCAGGAGACTTTGTGAAAACATACAATTTGATATGCGGAAGAAGATAGGGTATAGAACCCTTCTGAAAAATGACCCCTTGAGCTATTTTTAGACAGGGGTACTGGTGACCAATACTCATAAGACGTTTCTATGGTTCGTTTCTTCCTGTTAGTTATACAATAATTAAATTTAGTAAAACAACACAATTTCACATGCTAAAAAAAGTGAAGTCGCCCTCTACCGCAAAAATACCACTTGTTATATTTTTAGAAAGGGATACTCGTTCCCAATCCGCGAAATACTTTATCACAGTAACTTTCTTAGCTACACAGCGACGAAACACAGTAAACCAATAAAATTTTGATAAGCTGAATGAAAATGGTTGAAATGGTCCCCCACTCAGTAATAGCTTTTCTGCCATTTCAATCAGTTTCAGCCAACCAGATTACTTGATGAAATAAATCTATTTATTTGGTTGATGGGTCAGTCAGAGAATAAGCGTCTGCAAAAATTATGGAAATTTTATAATAAGCTATTAACCGCCATGACACAAGCTCAAATCAACTCAATTTGTCCTATCTCTAGTTCTTCTAATAAATTTGTAACATGAAATAACAATGTTAAAAACATATAATGATCTATATTTATACTCTTAATTTTTTTGTGATTATTTCAACATTTAGTAGAAATTTAGTAGATATCTATTGCATAAATATAATGAAGAATGGCTAGGGACAATATAGGCTTACATGCCCGTGGAAACAAATTAAAATTTTAACAAAACAGTCAAACTTTTATGATAAGAAGTGAATTCGAAGACCATTGAACTGCGAGAAACCTAAAGGCATCTTTTATTCATAAAGGTTTGCTCAAATAAGCGAAAATCAGCGGAAAGAATCTTTGAGATATTATCCAGCTACTTTTAAAATAGTGGGTCACATATAAACTACATACATGTAAAGTCAATTAGATTAAATTAGATTGACATCAATGTTTGCTAAAGTAACAACATTATTGGGAGAGGGCACACATTATGGTTGCTTCTTTCTGATTGGCCTACGGTCCTTTCTTTTATCATACATTTCGTCTTGCAGTTTGGATATAGCTCATGATTAAATTACTCTAAGAACTACGTTTGGTGTATAGAACAGGATGGTATATTGAGTTGCAATTGCCATCATGAGGAAACTGCTACAGATCATTAGAATAGTTCTATGATGATCGTTTTAAGCGTGAAAATGGAAGCTTCAACGTAGAACTGTTCTGTTCCACACACCAGCGCGTATACTGCTCTGCCTATACGTCATCGAGCGCTATATGACAGACCGGCAAGATAGCAATATTCATAACTCAACAACTTAATAGAAGGTACTCGGAATAACAATTTTGAATATCTGATGCTTTGTGAAGGTATGCAATTCAGTTTTGAAACATCCAGCACTGGTGACCATTATGAGTACGGAGTTAACTGAGTACAACAATTTGTGGGTATTAATCAAACTTAAAAAGGCAGTTGATTTCGATTATTGCAACATAGATGTCGAAGAAAACTTTGATATAAAGATATAAAGAGAAGGTTTAAGAAAGGTACACTGAATTCATCCTAACCATCACTTTATTTATCGCAAGGAAGGGCAAACAGGTTACAATTCTCAAGGCGGTGTCTTTTTTCCTCATTATTTTGTATGAAGATCTATTACTATGCAAATGTATACTATTATCGGCGGTGCCATATCGAATTTAACCTTGCAAAGACGTCTAGCTGAGAGCTAATCTTAGCTTTCCAACGTTTGGCATGCTGAAGTTCCTCTGAAGACACATAGTTAATGCCGCAAAAGTACAACTAAAAGCGATAGAGCTTCTAGAACACTTAAAAAGATCAGTTGTATGACATGGGAAAATAATGATTGATTAAATGATTATTTATTCTATTTTCTACTATTCTAGAGCGATAAAACACATGAATACCTTGTAATTCATATTGTTTGATTGAATAACTTTTGATCGTCAAATCATCCTCTAGTTATCCTGACTTTTCAATAAAGATGAAGTTTTAAAAAGTAAATAATAAATAATAATCGGTTAATTCTCTTTACTCGCAGAAAATGCTGCTTTCGATTGTAAAAAATCATAGACAGGTTTATAATACACATAAAACAACGTGCATTATTAATGAGATTCTGCCATCCATATGGAATGTACGTCCATAAACTCGTCACAACAAGGTACAAAAATTGATCGCCACCCAAAATGAGTCCGGTCTACTTGATCATCAGCGCAGTGCTTACTATCGCAGTTGTGTTAGCAGAGAGATCGCCAAGCCGAATCATCCGAGAGTTAGAGCAATGCATCACACACGAAGAGGTCGATGGATGCAGCATTCCGTTTAATTCTTCGTTTCCATATCGCAAAGTGTTTAAATCAGCATGCAATCGCCACGATGTTTGCTATCGCTGTGTAAGTAGCATCATTATGTGCAGTTTAATGTGTAGTATGATTATTTGTACTATCATTCTAATAAATATATATTCTTTTACGTATTTACTGTTAGGTGTCATGCAGGTTTTATGCAGATAATGATGCACATAGGCGTGCAGGAGAAGCATATGTGTAGCGATTGTTAAGCTTCTAAGAGGACTACCTTCGCATAGCATTTGAAAAAACCTTTATTCAGTAAACTTGTGTGAGATTTTCTTTACAATGATTCAATAGTTCGCTCGGAATGCAGCATATGCGTTTTATTGCAAATACCTAGCAATGAATGCTTGAAATAAGATTAAATTAATGGTGAAAAATCAACAGAGAAAGGATGATACAAATGAGATAGCGTACTGAGAGTGACTTCCACACTTCCAATGACTTCTCTTATAACCAAACTTAATTGCTGACTGCTGACTTACTCACTAAGTTACAAAAGTCGAATTAGTTGCATTTCTCTATTTACCAAATACATATCAACCGTTACCTTCAGATCAAAGATGAAACTGAAGAATTCGTTTCGGGTGTTTTAAAAAAGAGAACATATTGCAAGCATATGAAAAATAGTTTGGCTCTTAATCAGTGGTGTCGTGCTAGGGGGCTATTGCACAAAATGTTGCAAAAAACAATAGCAAATTTGCAAATTTTTGGCATCAACAAGGGGAGGCTCAGCACCCCTTAGCACTACACCCCTGCTCCTAATTCTTGATTTTTTGTGAGGATTTTATTGAACAACCAGTAATTTGTTTTCTTCATGTTAATTACATTATTTAAGAAAGCTTGCAATAACTCCTATGAAAATTCCATAAATTGTAAAGAAGACAGCAGCAAGAGATAATAAAATCTGTTCCAGCAGATATACGATGTTTTACGAAAAAGTATTCCAGGCTTTAAACTTTATACAATGCAGATTATGAATAAAAGCAGCCTGAATGCAAAAACATTCGGCGGTGCAGTGCAACACACGAAATAACCTAAGCTAAGTAATTTCAACAGAACTTCAAACGCAAAAGAAATTATCGTAATTACTGGCCTCAAGATGCACAATAATCAAGCATTACATTCGACGATAAGCATTAGCTAACGACCGCAGCAAAGCTGTGAAGAAATTTCGCTTTATCAATTATTGATAAAAAGAAACCAGAAGACTGCAGACTTCAAGAAGATGTGAGAGAACCAGATGCATTTCCAATGTTGTTTCTATTAAAAATTTAACAGAACCATCTGTTTCATCACAGAACTAAACACTTAATGATTGTATATTGAAGAACAATGGTTGGTGTGGGTAGAACTGAGCGAGGATTAGCAGATGCAGTGAAAGAAAGTCATGCTGCAGGCTGATCTATTGCAAATGCCCCATGCTGGAAATTAAAAGGACTTTTACTTCATTGTTCAGCAAGACTGTGTGGACAATCTTCTGGCCTGTTATAGGGTTTACAAATACTCCCCAGTCTTAAACAAGCTGGACTTTGTTGTGAAGCCGGAAAAACAACAAGCATCATTTTGATGCATAAGATCATATGGCAACTCATAATGCAAGAATTATACTTCTTTGTTTTATCCAGTTTATGTTTTGTACTTCATTGTTTTATCAAATATTTTTAATTTAGTGCTTTCTGACTTGTTTCGATAGAAAGAGTCTGTTCTCTTCCTTTGAAAGTTCAACTATGTTCAGGGTTAGCGGCTTGCTGACTGGTGAAAACAAAGAACCAACCAAACACACCACTATTCCTCTTCCGTTACTTTCGATCTGCACATAGGCAAAACTTTTCGCCTACCGTTTGGTCAATGTTTAACGCCTTATAGTTCGACAAGTATCTATGAAAAATGCTCTAAAACATGCAATGACATGGTTCCGCGGTTTTATCCAAGGGGAAGATTTTGAAAAGGAAGGCTTTTTAAGTAAATAAAGAAAAGAAAAGAATGATAAAATGTCGGTATCGATGTTAGCAAGACATTGCGTGCCAGACAACCATTGCATCGATAAAATTTAACAATTTTAAGTAAGAATGATCGTAAGTAGTTATTATTATTTTCAGCTACATTGAAGTACTATATGTTTGGTTTGATAACGAGAAGTTCTTAAAGTAAATCATAGAAAATTTTCCCAAAGCAATTCAAATATCAGTGAAAGCCAATGTATTAAAAAGTTAAAAATTGCAAAAATAAAGCAGGGAAATTAATCTTGTTAGCAATGATGGACTGATATAAACAACATTCTGCTCAGATCAAGCATTTTTATCGACGATAAAATCAACTACAACAAGCAGCTAAGCATCTAAATATGTATCCTTGCATATTGCATTTTAAACAGCTGATTGGCTTGCTCTAGTCTTGAACCGGGGTCACTGTCAAAAGTTCTAGTTTCACACAGCCGATAATAAGAATTTAAAAGGTCTGTTCCAGTCGAAATTGCAGGTCTGGAAAATAAAAGCAGCAATGCTAAATGCATTTTTGCTGGGTGTAGTTTAGAGCTAAATAATAAGTCAAAGAAATGATTCATTGTTAGCAATAGATGGCATGTCTGTTATTTTTCAGGGTGATCATTTCCAGTGGTCAAGAAATGACTGCGATGTTGGGTTTCTGTATGACATGTACTATGCTTGCGCCATTCATGGTATAAAACATGACGGGAAAACGAGACGATCTATAATACAGAAGGACGTCGAAAAACATGAGAGCCTTGATCAAAAGAAAGAAGAAGCACAGGAAGAACAACCGAAAGTGAACAGAGCCACGAGTAAAGATAATAAGGACAACACTCTTATCAAACACGACACTGCAATAAGGACAGAAAAGTCAACTGAAAAAAAGGCTGTTGCTTTCGAAAGTGGAAACAATGTGCACAAAGCGCAAGATGCAACCAAAAGAGAACAAGAAGATGAGGAGAAAGAGCTGGAAAAAGCAGCCATGGAGGTAAGTGCATTAAATAGCAAAGAAGTTACAAAGATAAAAAAGAGTGAGCATACCAAGAGAAAGACAAAGGAAGGAAGAGAACTCTCAAATGGAAGATCAAAATCTTCGTCTAGCAGCATTGAACACAGAAAAAGTAAAGAGAGGAAGGAAACAAATGTAGTGAGCGAAGAACATGCGAAATCCTCTAAAAAATCTTTTAAACTTGGACACCCAAAGCATCCGAAATTTCATACCCATAAGCAACAAAAATCAGAGGAGGTCCATTCCTGCCATGGAAAAACCAATTGTCATTCTGAAAAGCAAGGAGGCGAAATGGCGCACTCTACAAAATCCCATGAATCGTCTATTGACAAACTTAAGCTGATTTCTAACAAATATCATGAAATAGAGAAGCTTTTGGGAGAGTTAAACGTGTTGATAAAGACTGAAGCTACACAAGTAGAAAGTAGAAAAGAAAACATGCTAGAAAAATCTACAAGCATTGAGGTTGGTAGCAGTGGAGAAGAAAGGGATAATCTGACCAAGAATGGAAACGCAACAAGAAGCAAACTCGGAAATGAAACGATATTCAATAGCTCTATGCTAGGAGTAAAAACAAACGCAACCAGATCAGTGGAGGCTATAAATGGAACAAATGTGAAGAAGGTATTTCAAAAAAAGCAAGGTGTGTCCCACACAAAATACATCCACAGAAAAGATACTGACAAGCACCTGCAGGAAAGCGGAAAGGTAGAGGCCAGGGAGAAGGAAAAAAAAGAAGAAGAATTAGCCGACTCTAATTCTATGATTTCTAAGAGTTTTAGCCGAGAGATGTCCAAAGATCTATTGGCAAATGAAAATTATCTTTTACCAAGAAAGAACTCTTTGTTCGTCAAATGCAAATTGGCTGCTTATCTGTATTTCGTAGCTGTCAGAGGCTTTGGCCAGAAATTCTATCGTCACAAATCTCCGGACTGGTGCCGAAATGGATGTCAAAAGTCAGACGAGAAACCACGGTTAGAAAAGCTACGTAATCGACCAAGATAACGTAAATACCTCATAAACAATGAATAAATTCAAAATGTTTTGATTGAATGATTGATAACTGGGACTTCTTGACTTTTACGCTATAAATGGGTCCTTAGCTTTGAATTCACTGCAGTTTATTTTTTAATTCTTTAATGGCCTAATAGTATAAGGATGGTTCAAAGACTTGAAAGACCAAAAGTAAGATATGGCTTTCAATAACGTTAAGACAGCCAGGGTTCAACTTATAAGTTTTGAAGACTCCTAACTTTAAGATAATCGTGCAAGTTTTCTATCCAGTAACAGAGCCCAGGAAACTGCTCATCCTTCCTTCTGATAGCATGACAATATTTTGAAAGACTTTCTAAGAAAAGATGGGCGTGACAAGTGCGTGGTAGTAGGAAGAACTTTGTTTTCCATCACATTTTCACAGATCTTATCCGTGCAACCGCCGTTTTTCTAGACTCTATTCGGTAAGACAATATGGTTTGCCCATCTAGTGCAAGCCCCTGCCTTTGGGTACCTTGATCGATAGAATATGTCCTGTTTTTCAACCAATCGTTATTGCTTGCTTTGCTAGGTAGGTTATACTGAATACACCCTAATAGATACCGGTTGATGCAATATGCATGCAACAGAAAACAAAACTATTAGTGGTCTCATTTACAACCCTGGAAGAACAAGGATGAAAAATGTTTTGAGCCAATCAGACTGTTTGTTTACAATTTGAACCAGCCAATGGTATAGCGTCAAAGACAATAGAAATCTGGAGAGAAAATAGCATCGAATCAGCCGCAACAGTAACGCTCGCACCTCCTATACAAAGCTGTGGGGAAAAACCGGCGCCACAAAAAGTTAACGCTGAACGCGAAAATTGTCATTATTGAAGTGCTTCATACAATTATGCATAGCAAAGGAGTATATCTAAAACTTTGCCGTCCCCATTTTTGAAATTCGGTCGTTAACCAGAGATAAGCGATGAAACGTTTAGCCCATTATTGCCTTGATTGAATCTGCTTACGTTGGTTATGGTTGGTTGTACTCCAAGAAAACGGCATCATGTCATTTTATTGAAAAACAGGTCATTTTGAAATCTTTTTACAGGTCGTTGATAAAATTTAAGCAAAAAATAAACCTTGAAAAATTGTGCACATTTTACTTGTTATTTCAAAAATTGCTTGTTTAAAAATTTGTAAAGTAAAATTTGAAACCTCTGCATGACCTGCAAAAGTTTGAATCAAACCTTCAACTGAAAAAGCTATTGAGATATAACAAGCTACATTTTTTGAGTTCTCATTATCTTATTGGAATACAACGATCAGGGTCATTATTGAGCTTATATTTTGTAAAGTGGTACATTCTCCAACTCTTTTTAATGAAACTTTGCAAAAATATTTGAATATATTGACATGCAAAGTTGGGAAACCTTGAACCTTTCACTCAACAAAGACGCTCTACATTTTACAGTAAAGAAGAATACAATTCTTGAACCCTCAAGCACTTCGTAAGTACTTCTGAGTTTTTTCTTAAATGAATCCGTACTTAAGTCACTAAAAAAACCAGGGGATTTATTTCAGTGGAGACAGATAGCGTGGGCCGTTGCGTGCTAACGTTTTGAAGCCTTTATAACAATTCGTGTCCAGAAAATTCGTTGACAAATCGTCCTAAAAAACTTTGCCATGAGAAGAACCATCACTTGCACCTACAAAAATACCAAAATCAGGAATAGGCATATGATTTTGGAATAAATATTTGCAACAATGCCGCTATTTTCTCAAGATATGCATTTCTTCTATACGCAACACTCTAGAACGCACTCAATGAAAGAAAGTTGACGGACTGTCTTAGGGTTAAGAACATGCAAGAAAAAGGCAGAATGAAGAAAAAAAAACCCGAGTTTGATAATTATCTCTCCGTCTTACTTTAGAATATACGACGTACATACTTTGTAAGTAAAAAATGACCTGTTTTTCAATAAAATGACATGATGCCGTTTTCTTGGAGTACAACCAACCATAACCAATGTAAGCAGATTCAATCAGGGCAATAATGGGCTAAACGTTTCATCGCTTATCTCTGGTTAACGAC